AATATATACTGTGCATACACTAATCAAAAGAAAACTGGATATTTTTCATGGCATGGACTGCAACTCAGAAATAAAAAAAATATGGATGGTTGATATACAAAATAGATTAACCTCAAAGGAATTATCACAAGTGATAGGCAGAAAGTGAACCTTTCTTCTACTCAGGTCTTTGTCTGAGTGCATAAAACCCAGCCAAATAGGGTGTGCACCTTGTTTAGTCTACCTATTTGTTAATCCCATCTAAAAATAACCCACACAGAAACACTAGAATGTTTGGCCAAATATTTGGGCATATGCCATGGGCCAGTCAAGTTGACAGAAGAAATTAATCCTTTCAGTTGTTAAAGGAAAATCAAGTTGCCCATTATTTTTAGCATAATTACTGATTATTGATTATTTAGAAGTTCGTGCATGTGGAGGAGGTATCAACTGAATATGTAGCTTTTAATACTAACTTACAAATGTCAAGTCATGTTCCAGTTTGATTTTTTTCTGTTAAATCACAGAGTTATAGGACACTTCAATACTTCATAAGATTGAAGTTTACTATGGACCAGAGAACATGTTAAAAATTTTTAGGGAAGGATCTACCCTATTGGTTTAGATAACAATATATTTATCATATGCCAATTGTGCTCTTTTAGGATGATTTTTAAAAACTAATTTTTTCTTTTTTAAAAGATTTTATTATGTATACATACAAGAACTGGAGAATAGGCCAGAGGTGTGGGGGAGTGAGAGGAATCACCAGAGACAGAGTGGGGAACAGAACAGGCAGATCTACTGAAATACACTGCTGAGGGGAGCAGCAAGTGAGGCAGGAGAGGTCTGCTGCGCCATGTGGGTTGGCGCCCTGGCCAGTGGATATAACTCAGGTTTTTGTGGTGCACCTTTGTGGTGGTAGCGCTGAGACTTAACCCCTAGGTCATTAGGGAGACCCTTAAAGTTATTTTTGAAATGGTAGTATGCAATCTAAAACTCTGGCTAATGTTCATAGTTCAAGTATAATTTAAATTCCATTCATCTATTTTTTTTTCTAACTTATCTTTGTCTTTTTTGGGGGGAGAGAACAAGATCAGGTTTCATATTAGTGTTTTTCTGATTCTGTGAAGATGATTATACAGTTTTGCCCATATATTTACTTTTTTTTTTAATCTCTAAAACCTTCTGTGTATTTTACCCCACTGTCTGTAAATATAGCGATATTAGAATAGCTCTGGAATTGGGGAGGTTCAATTTATTTGAATCTTGCTCCTATTGCTATATTTTTTGTCATTTTAGCCTTCCACTGCATAGCATAAGTACAGTCATTGCTGTGGCCTATTTTTGATGAAGATGTTAATTACATTCATATTTTCTGTTAAGATTGTGCAGGGTTTTGGAATTATTAATAGAAGTTACATAAGTTGCTTCAGTCTAGATCTAGTGGATAGACTAAGATAAGAATGGCCATAACTAGGAACTGTTCATTTTAATTTTAAAGGAATTGAGTGACAAAAACATAAAATTATTACTCAGTTCCATTATCCCATTATTCCATTCCATAATTACATGTAACTACTGCATATTTGGTGAAAATTTGAAACCCAGAAAGACTAAGTGGGACAAAGTTAATATGAATTGTTTATCAAATGCTTTTAAGATGACTAGGGTCTGTTTGGATTTCAAATGGGTTGTATATTGAGTAGAGGAGGTGAAAATTTATATTCTGTCAACATTTACTGGGGGATTTGCTTGCTGTAAACCTTCTACACTTAGTTAAGCTATTAATTCATTTATTCCATGTTAAAATCCCATAATGTACAGTGCTTTAGTATCTCCATATCTCCCGCCTGCCTTTTAGTCAGATTTATAAATCCCTTATGTAAAATCTGACTTTACATGGAAATTGATTTTAATCTCTTCATAGTATATGAGGTAAAATACTGCCAGACTATGAATATATCATTTTTAGAATCCTTTCAGCTATTGAATTGAATAAAATTTATTCAGTAAAATTTCTAAAAATTACATTTGCATTGATAATATTGACAAACTTATATTTGCCTTATACCTGTAAATAATAAATATTGCATTTTCTTCTTCATGTTGCCTTTACTATATTGGGCAAGAAATGGCCAAATTGTAATCAGTAGTGTGCCATGTTGAATAGAGTAGGAGTTGGGGGGGGTTGTGTTTCTCTAATAGTTTTCACACTACAAATATCAAAGGAAAATCACTTCCTTCCCAGTAAATGTACTATTTTCTAGTTGCTGTAGTTGGGAGACTAGAGAAAGCTACAAAATTATCCCTTCAGAGTTAGATCCAAAAAGAATTTTGGGAAATTAAACAGCTGTAGGAGGCAATTCATATATTTTTACAAGATAAAAATCATTTATAAACCTCCACATTATAGAAAACCAGTGCAGTGAGGAAGCAGAGGTTTTCATTTGCTTGAGTATTAGAATGACTTTTACAACTTTAAAAAAATACAGGCAAGAATCTTGTAGATTAGCTTTGTAAGCATATGTACTTGAAAAATGTGAATAGAATTGTGAATTAATCAGTGAATGGTATTTTAAGCTGCTAAATTTATGGTAATTTTTTGTGCAACAGTAGCAAACTAATGAAAATAATAAAATTATTTATTATCCATGAGTCAAATGGAAATCACAATGGAAAACAGAAAATGTGTAAGTTGAGAGAACATGAAATGTTTGAAATTGCAATTGGAATAACTTAAACTCAATGAAGATATCAGAATGAGGTTTGAGCTTTTATTAGAGAAAACTTTAGAGCTCTAAATGTATATGTTAGAATAAAGGAAAAAGAGAAGGTCAACAATATAAGAATTTTTCCCAAGAAATTAGAAAACAACAGTGAACTAAACCAAAGATCACAGAAAGAAAAACAAAATTGAAAATCTTAGAAGTTCATGAACTAGAAAGCATACAAGCGAGAATCAACAAGTCACTTCTTTGAAAATGTTATAAAGTAGATAAAACCTTTGCAAGAGGGATTGAGGATGATACGGAAAGGCTCAGTTAGTACTGGAAATTAAAATGGGACATCTATGCAGATCCTACAGATTTGGAAGTGAGATCATGTGAACAACTTGGTTAGCTTGGGCTGCTTCATAAAAATATCAGATTATAAGTTTAAACAAAGAAATTTCTCAGTTGCTGAAGCTGGGAAATCAAAGATGAAGTTGCTCAGCGATTCAATTTCAATTTGAAGGCCATCTTCTTGCTGAATCCTCATATGTCTGAGAGGAGAGCTCTGGTATCATTTCATTTTTATAGGAGCATAATCTCTTGATGCTAGCTTTGCCCTTATGACCTCATCTAAACTGAATTCCCTCCCACAAACCTGTTCCTGTTACCATCACTTTGGAGGTTAGAGCGTCAATGTGAATTTAGGGGGGACACATTCAGTCCACAGCAAACTTTGAAGTCAATAGACTCAAAAGACTTGAAAATGTAGGTGAAATAAACATTCCTAGGCAAACTAACTATGAGAAGTTGCTTATCCATTAGAGATAATGAATCTGAAACCCTAAGACAAAGGCAGTTGACTTTTACTAGTGATTTCTACAAAACCACAAAAGAGGAAATAACATTAATCTTAAAAACTTTTCCAGAAAATACAAAAAGATTACAGTATAACCACTAAATGAAAATCTAACAAAGACTTTATAAGAAAATAAAATTACACACTAAATGTTCTCATTAACTTAGAGTCAAAATTCTAAGATTTGCAATATCATATTAAAACATTAGGGATTGCAAGCCAGGAAATACGGTTTTATCACAATCAATATGTCTTTGATGAATGTGAAATTTCATAAACCACTAGAATTCATGAATGAATTTCACAAGTTTACAGAATACAGAACTATATGAGCTTTGTATATCAACAACAAATAGAAAATGAAACTAAATATATCAATTTTACAATAACAACAGCACTTATTTTGGAATAAATCTAACAAACTCTAAAAGCATTCTATACTGGAAAATATTAAAAAGTTGAAAGATTAAATGACCGCAGTCAATGAAGAGTATTTCATGTTTGTATTAGAAGGCTTGCTATTTTGAAATGTCATTTCTGTCTAAACCTTGGTTGCTTTGGTAGAAATGTATTTTACAATATCAGTAGCAATCTAAAGATGACAAATAAAGATTCTGCTTTAAAACAGCTGAATTACAGCATAAGATGAATGCTGGGTAGGTTTTGAGTTGCTTCATTTTGTATTTCATTATTATTGATTAATATTTGATAGAGCTTGCAATTATATAAAGATATGATGAAACATGAAAGGGAAAATAGGCATATTTTTTGCTTTAAAAATCATTCTTTGTATATTTTATAAATTGCTTGAATCATTGTGGTGCCTGTATTTCAATATTAACTTTTATAATTTGTTTTTTTGTGAGAAGTACTGGAACATGTAACTGGAATTTTGGTAGGCCATGACAAAGTCCAAATTTTTCTTAGCATTTAATTTCCCAATGCAAAAGCTAGAATTAACTGTTTATAAAAGTTACTGCTTATATAACAATTACATTCTGATTTAAAATATTGGGGGGCACCCTGGTATCCAAAACAAAGTAGAACCTCCATAACCTTGCTACACTGAGTCACTCACTTTATAGTTCACCACTGAGTCAGAATTCCATGGTTTTCAGGTACTTATCTCTTATCATAGTTAAGTTTATGCCCAAATTCTTCTACATCAGTGCATTGATTGCATTGATTTTTGTATCTCTTCCTCCCTTAATTACTTTCATTGTTACTTTCATCTACTCCTAAGCAAAGCGTTCAACGCATATGTTTATTGAAATGGATGGTAAAAAGAATCAAGGACATCTCAGTGTGTAGTCCAAGTCACTTCACTTGACCTGAAATCAAAACCACCTTGTTCTTGTTCAAGAGTTATGAACAGCAGTAGGCTTAGATTTCAGCATATTGGTCTCTGTTCCATGTTTTGTTTGAAACATACATATTTTTTTTAATTTCAGAGAAAATTTCACAACATGTTTGTGTAGTTGTGGACACAAAAGAAGATGAACATGTAGGTGGACTCCTTGAAAAAACACTGAAAAGTGAATTAGATGTAAGTATTCAGAGACAGAATTTGATAAACTGTATTTGATTGCCTCAGGTTTTCTTTATAATATAAAGATAACTTCCTTAAGAGATATAAAACTTAATTTTCCTATTCTTTTGAATACTGGTGTGTAATTTATCTGTTTGCATCTGTGCTTACAAGTCCTGCATGGAATTGCTGGGTTATATGGCAATTACATGTTTAAACATTTAATTTAGTTTAATTCTAATTATTATTATTGAGGTAACATTAATTTACAACAGTGTATATGACACCTCCTTCAGAAGTGTATCACCACACCACTCACCCAGGCACATGTATCACTGTAACATAAACTTTTGTTATGTTAAATTCTCCTTCTAGCAGCTTTGTTTTCACTCTAGCCTCTCCTTGTAGCCTCAGTTGTGCAGTCATATTTCTAGGGTCTGTTTTGGTTTAGTTTTGTCAATTTCTTTGTTTTATTCCTCTGTATTCCACCTTTGAATGAAATCATCTGATATTTGTCTTTCTGTTGCTAACATATTTTGCTTAGCATAATACCCTTCAGTTTTGCCCATGTTGTTGCAAATGAAAGGTTTCAACTTTTTTTTTTAATAGCTGAGTAGTGTTCCATTTTGTGTGTGCATGTATATGTACACACACACACACACACACGCTCACATGTACACACCCCACATCTTAATCCACTCCTCTGTCCACTGGGCACTTAGGTTTTTTTTTAAATTTGGCTATTGTAAATTGTGCTGCAGTGAACTTAGGTGTGCATATATTCCTTTGAATTAGTGTTTTTGCATTCTTCAGATAGATAACCATGAATGGAATTCCTGAATCATATGGTAGATCTATTTTTAATTTTTTGAGAAATCGCTATACTGTTTTCATAAAGACTGAACCATCATTCATACCGACATTGTATAAATGTTCCTTTTTTCTCCTTGTCCTTACCAACACTTAGTGTTTCTGGTCTTTTTGAGGTGGGCCATGCATTTCTTAATCTTAATACTATTGGCATTTTGAAGTAGATAATTTTTTTGTTGCAAGGGGCTGTCCTGCACATTGTATGCTATTTACCAACTCACTTGGCCTATACTCACTGGATGCCAGTATCACTCCCAGGCTCTCTTTGTAGCAACCCAATATGTCTTCAGACATTGCTAAAAGCTCCTGGAGGAGTGACAGAATCACTTTCCAATGACACTGGTCTAATCCTACCATCTTTACCTCCACTCTTAGTTTTTTTTTTAAATTTTTTAATTTAAATTTTTATTTATTTACGTATACAAGCAATGGATATAGTCAGAAGCGCAGGAGGGTGAGAGAATTCACCAGAGCCAGAGCGGGGAGCAGAGCAGGCAAGGGACCGAAGTACACTGCTGAGGGGTGCAGCGGGCAGCAGGAGAGGTCTGCGCACCATGTGGGACCCTTGTCCAGTGGTCTGGGAGCAGCAGGGGTTCGAACCGGCACTGCAGAGGCTGCGGGCAGCTTCGCAGCCCAGCGCTCAACCGTTGCGCCACCAGGCGAGGCCCCTCCACTCTTAGTTTTTATACATAATTAATCACTTCCCAGTGGGAACATCCCTATCTTCCTGGTACGAAACTGCTGAAGATTCTTGCATCTGTAGCCATCTTCTTATTAAGTTTTTTCCCTCTTTTCTACCTCTCTCATCAGTATTCTATCATATTCAAGTTCCTTTCATTAGAACAAAACAAACAAAAAATCTTATCAACACAAGTTACCCTTAATCCATACTTCTTTAGAATAATTTGCCTTCTCATTCCTGATCTGTTGCATTTTGACTTCTTCCCCAATCTTCCATAAGAACTGCTTACAGTGAGATTCCAGTGATCCCCCTATGAAAAAATCCTTAAGAGGCCTGTGAGTTCTTACCTTGATTTATTTTATAGCATTGACTTTCTTGTCTAATACTTTCTTCTTGAAGGAATCTTGTTCCATGGATTTTGTAATATCTTATTTTTCTGATTATTATTTTTGTTTGTTTTTGGCTTACTCTTGCAAGCTTCATATGCTGGATTTTGTTTATAATTTTTAGGCTCACATACACATGTAAGATGATTTCTTTAAAAAAAAGAATACTGATAGATGTGTATATCTTCTATTTGCTAGACACAAAAATGTTTCTATAGCCTATGTCTTGGTATTCACTATCCTGGTTTTAGAGCTGTCTACTCAATCAGAAGCCTCTAGGAACATGAAATGTGAATGTCAGTATTATTTAACAATCACAAACCTTCATTCCAGCCAGTCCCTCTTCCATCTACTACAGCTAGTCTCTTGACAACACATATTGTTTACCTAGTTACTAAAACCTGGTATGGTGTTTGTCTCTTTTTCTTATCTTACTCCCAAAGCCAGAAACGTTATATTCTGATTCTGTCTCTCAGAATAGCTCAAGTGTGATTCTCTGTCACCATTGCCACTATCTTATGTACCTCAATGCTTATCTGTTTTATTGCAACCATCTGCTAACTAACCTCCAGATTCCAGTTTTTCCCTACTCATGTCTATCATGTAGCAGTTATATTGGTTTTTCTAAATTGTGTACCTTATATTACTCCCCACTCAAATTTGTTCCTTGGCTTTTTATTGTTCCTAAATTAATACACAAATTTCTTGCCATGTCTGAGATGACCCCTCACATAATAACACTAATAAAAATAACAAAAACAGCAATAATAATAGCCATCAATTTTTAGCACCTCTATTGTACCAGCATTTGCTCTTAACAACCTTCTGAAATTGTTTCTGTTATCCTTGTTTTCCAGGTGAGAGAAGTGGGGTACAGGTGGTTGTCTAAATTTCTTTGTTAGCTTTGCTATGAAGTGACAGAGCAGGGACATTAAGATGATCTCAGATTCAATGTAATAACTGATAATATGTCCTCTTAACTGGTCCCTTTCCCATGTGACCCCTAAAGGCATATCAGAGACATTCACAACAACAGATAACTGCACCCCAACATTAAATAATAAACTAAAAGACTTTTTGAAAATGACAGAACGATACAAGTTTAAAGTGTAAAAAAGCAAACAAGATAAATATAACAGAAAAATTGAAAAAAATAGTTTGAAAGGAAAATTGAAAAAAGTTTTTTTCAGAAATAAAGGCTAAATTAGAAAGAATATGAAAGTGAATAAATACAGTAGATAATGCACGAAGAAAAATACCCCAGCAGAGTGGGACTCTTCATGTGGTTTGTTTTTTTCCGACTTTGAGTTGGAGTCTACCAAAGCTTCTCCTACTGTCTGCTGCTGTTTCCAGAATTGCCTGTTAAGCAACCAGAGAGAATCTGATGATGATTTTATTTTTTGGCTTCTCCTCCCACTCCATAGTTTATTGAATTGTATAGGTCTTCATAGCTTGCTGTATATCTCTACCCTCTAATACTGTTTTGGTTTTGTGCTAGATTTTATGTATAATCTTTTGATTTTGAAATCCTTGCACTGTATTTTTTATGAAGGGATCTGCAGAGATTCAATTAATAAAACAATCACTTTTCCACAATGACTTCTCCTTTATTTCCTGTGTGCATTCTGGTTGGTATTTTTTATTTTTAAGCATTTAGATTTCTCTTAAGTAGCTTATTTGTAACCATAAATAATAACTTTAGAATTTAGAAAAAAATTAGACTGGACTTGAAATTAAGAATTTGATTCATCTAACAAAGCCAAGAAATGTATACTTGTTCAAAAGACAGAAACCCCAGTGTTTCTTGAGCACTTGCTAATTGTAATATCCTCTTTTCAGGAGATATATTGGATTTTTTTTTTTTTAAACTAGGACTTAATGTAGAATTTGTAAAACTGAACTTTGGATGTCCTTTTAAATTTATTCAGAGAATCTTAGTTGACCTTGGAAACAGATGTCATTCATTTCTACTTTCCTGACTTCTAAATTTGCCTAAGAACTACAAGATCACACAGTGACTTATCAGAATGTTTTCACTCATAAACAGCTACAACATTAAGAATATGCAATGCTTTCTGTGTACAAGGGATAATGCTGTGTACTTTAATCCTTTCAAATAACACTATTATTTCCCCCCTCATTTTATGAATAAAAACAGGGAAACCTTGTAAAGATTTGCCTAAAATAATGATTAATAATTATTGACTAAGTGCAGTTAATTCAATGTTATTTTACTTTTTAATATTCTTCTATAAAATGGCGACATGAAAGGAAAAAAGTGACATTTTATAGTTTTATAGAATGTTTATATCTAAGGTCAGAAAGAAACTGTCTCTTTGGGAAAGGAATTAGCTAGTTTTATGTAAATTTTCTCTCCCCTCATATGGGAAAATTTATCTTGTGGTACTTGTTAGCTCAAACTTATAGACAAACATAAAATGCCATGTAGTCTCACATTTTTACTTCTCAGAACTTTTGACTCACTTTGAAAAGAACATGTAAAAAGGATGATGTCACTGCTATTTAAATCCAGGCACTGTAGGGCAGATCTGTGTGGGTGTGGAGGGCTCAATACACAATGGGAGGATTGTTTTATTGGTGTGAAAAGAAAAAAATTGAAACTACGAGAAGAGATTGGTTATGCTTATTGTAATTATCTGCACTAGGTTTTGTGGCATACCTTAGGGGTGAACTAAATTTCTAAATGTTAATGTAATGATACACACCAACTACATGGAAGAGGTGGCTAAAAAAAAATTACAGTAAGGAGCTAACTGGGTAAGGGACACCTTCTCCACCCTCCATACATATGGTACATTTCACACAAATTTAAATTTCAAGATTTTGTTAACCAGCTTGCAACATTCCTTCCTTGATTTCCTCAGGAGTTTGAAGTATTTCACAGACCCTTCCTACATCCGAGATGGAGCTCACTAGATATAGTCAGTGTAGTAAGAACTCAACAAATGCTGGAAAATGTTCATGATACATACTGCTGAGTGTAGTAAGCAATATATCAGTAGGAAGATGTGATCCTTTTTTCATTAGTTTTTTAAGTTATTTATATACCAAAGAGTAAA